TATGTGGAAAATAATCCCTATTAACCATGCAGTCTGGGACCGATTACTTAACCCACCTGTACTTTGATTTTGTCTCTAGTACAATATGCTAACACCTGTACCATCAGGTTACAGCGACCATTAAATGAGATAGATCTATAACGTGCTTATTAGCACATGGGAAGCTCCACATAATAGTTTTAAAAGAGCAAAGGGAAGAGGGGGCCGTGGGAGGGTGCTGGTGGTCTTTGGATGGCTCACATGTGAGAAGGGGGAAGGCGGGCAGCTTGCAGGAAGATCTCATTGACTCCCCCTTCTAATGCACCAGGGTTCCCTCTCCTTGGCACAGCCCCAAAACCTAACCACAGAGAGAGCTCCTTCCCACTGGTCCCTGGCCCCTCTCGTGCTTGGGGACATGGGCGGGGCCCGGGAGGACCTGGCTTCAGTGTGGCTTGATGCCCGCCTTGATTACCACTTGTCTATTTGACCAAAACATAAAACTGCATCATCAGATCAGAACTTGGGCTCTCTCTGCTGGCCAGCTGTGGCCTCGTCTGAAGGTGCCGCAGAAAAACGAAAGCTCTGTAGGTCTCCTCCTGCTTCTCCGAGTGTCTCTGCCATCCAGTGACTTCCTTTAAACACCCTCTCCATGTTCTGATTTTCCCAGGATAGGGAGCAGAAAAATCCCCTAGGAACCACTGTGTGAACAGATAGCTGTTTGGGGAACGCGGCCAATCCACCATGTCCTCAGCAGGGCACAACCAGACACCCTATAGACCGCCTGTTCATTGATGATTACATTAGATGCTGCGTTTCTCGGGGACGGATCTGCTCAGCTACCACCAGCTTATTCATTATTTATATACAATTAAAGGGCACGGTTCAAATGAACACAAGCACATGAGAAAAGTCATTACTCATGTACAGATCAAACTGAACACTTGTCATTTCCCTAGTGACTTAACATACCCTTTGTACCTTGGGACCTCAAATTATATGAAGCGCAGGAGATGCTTCAACTCTTTTACTTAGTCTCATTGTTGGCTCTAATCCGCTTGCTCAGATTATTCGGATTTGTTTAAAATTAGTCCTTGCTTCTCCTTAATACATGAAAATAGAAAAAAGAGGGAAATTTCTTTTTAGTACCTATCGCATTCTAAGGATGAATGCAAATTGTGCTATGATTCTTAATGACCCACCATTAACGTAGTAGGAATCCCAGTGCATTAATGCAATGCCTCTTTTCACATCATTACTCCTAATGGAACTGTTACCAGGATAATAGCTTGACCTTTAGCTATAGATTCAGACAGCAAAATATATTCTGCTTACTCGATACCTCTATTCACACAGCATATTGAGCATTTTTGGATCAATACAATGACAATCTTTTGGCCTTGTTCTAAGGCTTCATCTGCACATGTAACAGAATAGGATTTCATCTTCAGGAGATAGATCCAAGTTAAAAGTCTCTTTTAAGTTTGAATGTGATCCACGAAATAGAATATCAGTAATACAGCCTGTGGAACTATTTGTTGGTGTAGGTATTTTCTGAGAAGCCTAATGCTGTGCCTTCAAAGGTCTCAGACACAGACCCAGAAGACAGAGATTTCCCTGGCTTTTCATTGTGACTGGATGAATTTTAACTGAAAGGAGAAAAAAGAAATCGAAATTATTGCCTTTTTAGTGGGTGACAGAATATTTGAGCCCAAGATGAGCTTAGAAGGATCTGCTTGGGGAAAAAAAAAAAAAGAAGGATCTGCTTAGAAGTCCCTCACAGAGTAGGAGAAAACATTCCAGAGCCTTCCCTTTGATTCTCCTAAACTTGGTTATTGACATGCGTGGTTGCTAGGAGTCATTTCGATGTTGGCATAATCCACATTGACTTTGTAATTTGGAACCACTGTTTTCTAGTGTGTGCTAATTTGGACACAGGCATTTCACAATCTAAGAAAAGAGGGGTTGCTATAGAAATTAATTTTAGAAATAATATCACAGGGAGGGAGATGTTTACCTGGTAAGATGATATATTCAGTCATTTTTGTGGTACACATTTTCACATAAATTAACAGTGTGCTACATACAATTATTTTCCTTTTGTTAAAATAGAACTTCGAGAACCTTTTGGCAATTCTCTGATTAGCAAGTGTTATTGTGGGCATTTGGATATAATTCAGTCTTGTTTAACTATATTCCATGAACTAAAACTTCCTAATTAGTTTAAATTCATGAGCTATTGTATCTGTTGCCATTAGAAACAAAACTGGGAAATATGTGTGTTCATCAAATATTTATTGACCTCTTGCTCAGTACAGGGCACTATTGTCAGTGCTTTGAGGGAGACAAGATACATGAGGACCCTTGAAGTGGTCTCCAATCTGGCATAGGAGATTCAAGGACACACCTACCCCTGGGGATAGCACAGCATCTGCCTCCCTCCTGAGTAGAGAGTTGAGTCCACAGGGCTTGCTCATGCCCACAGGCCGTATACTAGATAACCTGCTTGACATTCTCCCCCATCCTCAGCCCTGCTTTCTAATTGTCTCCCTTCCTCTGCTTGGTGGGGGCTGGAGTGGACCCTTTCCATCAAGGCTCTTACCACAGCTACACGCCTTCCTCTCCCTCTCAGGTCCTGCTGGCACCTTGAGTGACTCCACGATCCTTATGAAAGATCCTGACCCCTAGCCACATCATGTCCAGACCCAGTCCCCTGTGACCACACCTCAGCATTCTCATACAGAACCGCTCCCCCATGGATGTCGTCTACTCCAGCATGACACCTCCTTGCCAACCCCACTGATTCCATTCCCTGATCCCCAGAGATTTTTTTCCAAGCGTCTGAGCCTTTTTCTGGCTTTGCTTCCTCCTCAGATTGGGGGACGGGGTGGGGGAGTGAAGAAAACAGAGGTAATAGAGTCTCACTGGCATCTGCAAGGGCTTTCTGTCCCTGTCCTCCTGCCGAAACCATCCAGCAGAATCCTGACTTGGGCCAAAACTGCCATCCAGTGGCACCACTCCTAGCCCTGAGCTGCAAGCTGCCACAGGACTGTTGCCACCACAAGCGCGTAGGCTTCTCTTTGGCTTGCCGTGCTCACGTCCTTGGTCTACCGCTGTCCTCTTCCTCTTCTTCTCAGAGGCAATGCTAGACATTCCCCACACTCTCCCTACCCTTTGCCACTGAGTCACTGAGGTCTCAGGAGTGACTGTTCCAACCTAGACCACTTCTAGATCCAACCAAGTTCCCACTCCCTCTGGGCTCAGAGAGGGGAGTCTTCTTCCTGTTGGAGGGCAACCCCTCCCCTGCAACCCGTTCTGGATCCTGCCTTCTCCAGAATGGAAACCATGCTCACATCTCTCCCACCTACAGCCCTCCCCCATCCCGGCCCCTCTTCTTCTTCCCCCACTGACCTGGTGTTTCTGGAATGTCATCTGTGGCCACCCCACCTCTCCCTTGAGGGGCTCCAGTGACACCTAGCAAAGTGCTGTGCCTGACCCTCCCTTCTGTACTTCAGACTGTTGTCCCTTGTCTTCCTTAGCGCCACTCACTGGTCTTAACAGACCTCACTTCTCGGTTCCCCAGATTTCGCCAGTCCTGTGCCTTCATCTCCTTCCATCTGGGGTTCTCTCTGGCTCTGGGCTTGACCCTGTACTCTCTTCACTCCATATGCTCTCCTGGCCAACATTTTTTTCTCATTTCTAACTACCACCTATAGGTATGCGCCCCTTGGGTCCGTATCTTCTGCCTGGACCCCTTCCCTGAGCCGCAGGCTTCTGTGTCAAGTAGCAGCTAACCATCCCCACGTGGGTGCTTCGCAGACACCGCAAATCAGCACGACCCAAACCAAACCCAGCACAGCACGCCTTTCCCTCAAATGTGCCATTTCTCCCATATCTACCAGGTCCAGTCACCCCTGCCGCCTGCTCTCTAATGTTTGAATGGGTCTGGTCCCCACTATTGTATCCGTATTAAGTATTAGCTTTTTAACGTCGTTTCCCTAATGTAGTGATATAAAGTGTGTTCTGCGATTCTTTGGTTTATGTATTGACTGCCGAGTCTCCTAGGCATACTCTGTCCATTTATCTACAGAGACTTTTGAAGTAGTTCTTTTATTTGAATGAACTTTTTTTTTGGTGATGGATATGGAACCTCTTCAGTCGTATTTAGCGCAATCAGCTTTTCTTATTCTGATGAAATGTTTCTTTTTCGTTCAGTAGAAGTTTTACAGTTGTAGAGAGTCGAATCTGCAACATTTCCCCTTGCCCTTTCTTTTTAAAAGAAACCTTTAAAACATTAAAACTGCCAGTATTTTAAATACCACAAAAGCAGAGGAGCTGACACATACCAGGTCTTGTCCTTGCACAGATGAGGGTATGACAGTGCCCAGGAGCGGAGGGAAGTGGGACTGTCCACCGCAGCACTGGGATGGGCTGCCACACACTGCGTGCCTTTCAGAGGGCCATTGTCCCGTCCCCTTGTGTCGCGTCACGGCTCCCTCCGTAGCTCCCCATACACCACTCTCCCAGGTGCAAGCACCACACGTGTACCAGAGGCTGACTCCTAGTACTGCCCAGACTCTAAGACACACCTGCATTATTGTTCGAGTGTTGACTGAGTTATGCCATCTTTTTGTGTCATCTGGCATTCGATTTTGTTTGATCTTGCCCGAGATTCAATTTACCAACAGTACTAATCCGTTGGCTGAATTCTGTCATGGCGCCAGCAGACCCAGAGGAAGCTTTTTCTTCTCTGCCCGTAAGACACATGTACATGCATGTGGAACAAATAGAAAGAGAGGTTCCATTAGATCTACTCATGTTCTATGGCCAGCTACAACCTGAGGCACCATCCAGTGAGGGGGATCCTTCCAGCCTCCATCTTTACCAAGGGAACGTATTATAGACGTTGAAGATACCCACTTTTAGAAAAACACATTTTTTTTTCTTTTTGGGATATATTCCTATTTCAGATCTGCGTGGTTTATTTATGAAAGTATTTAACAATATTTCATATTTTCTCTCAGTCTTCACAGAAAAATACTGTACGGCTAACCACGTGGATAAACTTCCTGGCCCGAGAGACTGGGTACAGATTCTGCAGGATCAAATCAAACTGGCCAGAAGAAGGTTAAAAAGAGGCTCAGGTATGAATCAGCTGCAGGAAAAGAATCATCACCATCAGCCCTTTCCTGAATTCTTAGATGCGGCAAAGTACAATTCCTCTGCTCTAGGGTGCTTTGCTGTCTTTTGTCTTTTGAAGGAAAAGCTCTGGAGAAGGTGCTGTGATTTTGCATTTTAAAGTCTTACTTGAGTGAGTTCTGAAATTCACCTGAAGGTTAAATAGTAAAAATTACATCAGGCCATTTACTTTTACTAGTATGAATGAAGAAGATTACTCATCTTGTTCATGGCCTTCTGTGTCTTACCTGTGAAGCAAGGTCTCTCTTTTATGATCCACTTCTATTTGCTGTTGAGTTTTGTTTGGATCTGCATGATTTTATTAAAAAGTACCAGCTGCTTGAGGTGTAAAAATAAAATAAAATAAAATAATCCTCCTACCAGAAACACTGCATGAAATAGACAAAGGGATTTTAAGTTGCATAGATATTTTTTCAAATCTGGCTTTGGCAGTCTGGAGATGATTTTACACAGGAACGTGAATACCAGTTGAACTAGGACTACTTAGATTTGGTGATTTGTGGTCCCAAATGATAGTGGGCCAATTTACCAGTGAAGAATTCCTTTGAGATCAGTTTTCTGCCATCATGTAAGAATCATCATCTCTAGGAGGCCACAAACCTCTAGACGTTATTTTTTAAACAAACAAACAATTCCCATCAAACCTCAGGACGCCTGGCCCGCTAAGAGCCTCCATGCTTCTCTAGCAGAGCATGCAGGTGTGGGAGCCAAGCTCCAGATGCTGACCGCTGCACAACTGGCTGGTACGGAGGCCCCGAGAACAGTAGCGCACACACAGGGGCCTGGGTCTCTGGGTCACTTAGGTGCACTCACAGCATACTGGGAACAGTGACCAGTCCCCAGTGGGGAGCCCCCCAGCTCAGGCTGGGAACACCCTCGATGCAGCGAGACACGGGAGGCAAGGGACCAAGTATGTCTTTGGGGTGAAAAACCTTACAGCTCTCTTCCATAAGGTAGCTATCAGGACTCTACAGTATTTAGCTGTAGATAATTTTATTTTATTTTATTTTTTATTTTTTATTATTTTTTAAAGATTTTATTTATTTAGTTGACAGAGAGATCACAAGCAGGCAGAGAGAGAGGAGGAAGCAGGCTCCCTGCCGAGCAGAGAGCCCGATGTGATGCATGGCTCGATCCCAGGACCCTGAGATCATGACCTGAGCCGAAGGCAGAGGCTTAACCCACTGAGCCACCCAGGCGCCCCGATAATTTTATTTTTAATTAAAACCTTCCCTTCCTCTTTTTTTTTTTTCCCCCATTCACTTCCTTTTATACGAACTGATGCTCTCCATAAACAGCAGTGGACGACTGGTATTTGTCGTTGGTAGAAACGTAGTGTCGCATCAGGCAGTAAGTTGTAGTGGAGTCCAGACCTGGCGTTCAGGTCTCTCCTCTGCTCTTCACCAGCCCTGGACCCCGAGCAAGTCACTCCAGCTTCCCAGTCCTCAGTGTCTCAATCATGAAGGGACAGAAAGATAAGCCTGCATCACGAGGTTCCAGACATACGTCATACGTAAATGTCTCCATAAACAAAACCAGTGTGCCTTCTGAAAATGTCTGCATTCGTGGGCAGCAGCACTGGGGAGGGGGTGTCCTAGGTCAGGGGCCTAGGCAGTCGGCCCTGCCCGGCAGTCCCCTCTGCTCCTGTTGTCCCAGCGTAACTGCTACTAACGCCCTTTGTGCCTGCGCAGGTTTCCAGGCTTGGATAATGAATAAATGATACACTCGCCCTTCCCCCGGGTCTCTCCTTTTACTCTGCCTTCTTTCTCTTAATCTACAAATCACCGCAAATAAACTCAGCAGGGGAGCACTGGGAAGAACAGGTCTGACTTCCTAGCTCCCATCTGCCATTTCCAAATTCCTGGGACCTTCTCTGAGCCTCAGGCTCTCTGTTTATATAACGAGGCTAATACCTGCCTTAGGGCAGTTTTCAGAGTTAGAATCAGACCGTGTAAGTACTGCCACTAATATAAAGCCAACGGGTAATGCTCAAAAAATGTTCAGGCCCTGATCCTCCTTCCCTTTGCCAACCCCAAACAAAGCAGAACTATTCGTGTATCCCTGCCATTTCTTAAAACCACCACCATCTCGTTCTCCTGGATGACATTGGTCAGATTTCCTCCCAGAGGGTTTGCATTGCCAGAGTCGGCTTCCCTGTCCCCGCTCACTTCAGAAGCCTTTGCCTTTGGCCCTCTGCCCCGCCCCTGTACAGAAACTCCCGCTGCATTCCCGTGGGATGATCACATTCGTTCTCTGCTTACATTAACACTCCATCCACTTGACCTGCTTGTTGATTTGACTCCATGGGGTCTGTTCCCCTGGGCTCTGGGGCCTCCCTGTCTTTGCTTGTCCTCCCTGTTCTCCCACACTGCCTTCGGTCTAGTCCACAGCCGCTGACTCCTTCTGGGTGCACCTCTGAAACCCCATGGCTTGCTTTCCATTCTTGGTGCTGTTGTTATTCTAAGGCCTCACCCAGGACTTGACCCGTCCCACCATGGATGGCTCACTGGTTTGCCGCTCCAGACTGGTCGTGTGCCGAGACCCTAAACTTCGCTCTCTGAGAATTAGGTACTTCCTCTAGCTTTTTGTCTTCCCCAAACACAATCCCTAGTACACCCCCCCTTCAGCGGGGCAGGCTGCATCCCTGACAGCCAGCCCCACCCTCCTCACCCACTTCTCCTGCCCCAGCCTCGTCAGACGCCTCCTTGTTGTGAACCCTGCTGGGCTCTCCCTGGGAAATGGCACCTACTCTTGTCACAGATCTTAAAGGACACTTCCTCCAGGAGCCTTGATAAGTGGCCCCTGCTCTTTCTGCCACCAGAATAATGGCACTCCTGTCTCTTCCACTGACCACGAGATCCCCAGGCACAGGGTCTGCACCTGAGTCGTGTTTCTATCCCAAGTGGGTGGCACAGCATGGGTACACAAGAATATTTGTTGAATAAACCCACAAATCAGTCCGTGGAAAAGAAGAGGCAATAATCACAACGAAAAGGTCTTATTGTTTAGCTCATCCTGGTCACGTAAGATCCTGGAAACTATTCTATTAGTTCCTTACTTGACATTCAAATACTTATTCCATGCCCCACAGAAGCCACAGGGTGACAACATCACTGAGCTCTGTCCCTGGGGATGAGGTCCCTAGAACTCCAGGGGACGCCTGTGGCACGCACATGGACAGGTCCTTGAGTGTCCCTTCCTTCCTCCTCCTCAAGCGCATTCTCCCATTTCCTTCTCTGCACCCTACCTCCTCAGTCCCCTCCCGATTTCCTCTCTTCCCGCTTCCTCCCCCAAAGGTTCAGAGTCACAGTGGCCTGACCTCACACAAAGTAGACTGAATAACAAATAGGAAGGTTAACTCCCCTAGTGGGTCTCTCACTCCTTCTTATGCTAAAGGTCTTCTGCCTGCCTCAGCTTTGTTTGCCTCTCAAAGACCCTTTTATTACTTCAGCCTCCAGGAAATTGTTGGGGGAAAGGGTTACAGTTGAATGACAGGTGTTATCAAAGACAAATGCCCAGTAGACCACACAGCAAACTGAGCACTGATGTCATGCTAGGTGCTGTATCTCCTCAGTTTTATATCCCAAGTGACATTCCATTTATTAAGCCTGAATAGTGTCTTTGCCAGTGAGTATTTAATTGGTCCTGTGTTGCCAAAATTCTACCTTGGCAATCTGGACTGTTTGCATATATAGGAACTTCGTTTACCTATGGAGGAAATTGTTGAAGCCCAAAAAACAGAGATGCTAAGGAGAATCGTCAGGCCTGAGAGAAATCTAAAATTTGCCACAGCGAAGAAACCTGAATTTAATAGTCTGTGAGCCCGAAAGAGAGGGAAAGGCCCAAAGTACCCAAGACCCGGCCACTTGACTACCTTCTGGTGCTTCCAGAAGCCTGAGGGGGGTTAGCATATGCATGCCCTTCTGTCCCTCAACCTAGAATCCGCAGAAGCTGCCTGGTCCCTGCCTGGTCCCTGCCTGCTCCACAGGGGGTGGGGGGAGGCAGTGGGAAAATGGGAGAAATACTTGGAGCAACTTGGAAGCTTGGGGAAAAAGAACTGTATGAATCCAGAGTACCAATACTGCTAATTCAGGAAAGACAGAGCCAACTCCGAGGAAGGAGGAAGGGGGGCTTTGTGTTACAGAACACGTGTCTCTAGCTGAGGAGAAGGACTACAAGGGGACCTGTAGTCCTGGGGGACCTGAAAAGTTTGTCTGAAGAGGAACCTCTGAAGGTAGAAGACATGAAAAGTAGGGAGGGTATCGAGTATACAGAGTGTATTGTGGAAAGCTATCTTCAGAGACACAGAAACAGCCTTTCTGGTGTTAAAAGGAAACTCACAGGCTCAAAATGGAGTCTCTCGTGCCAGGCTGCATCACCAGACGGGGGCGTCGTCCCTAATCTGACTGGACTTTCAACCTCCCCGGGGAATGTACTCATAACTGGTCAGTCAGGGATTTGGGGGTTAGCTCCAATAAAGTAATCGGTCACATGGACCTTCTCCATCTCCCCGAGCAAGATGAAGTAATCTACCTACTAAGACCCTTCTGTCCCCAAAGGAAGGTGACCTTACCCACAATAATCCTTTCTTCTGTTGATGACTTTCTCGTCCTGTCTTTTAAAACCTTCATGCTTTGCCGGAGCCCTTTGGAGCTCCTGTCTGTTTGCTGGATGGGATGCTGCCCGATTCCTGAATCCCTTCATAGAGCCAACTGGGTCTCCACATTTACTCAGATGAATTGTATTTTTCAACTGGGAACGGCCCACATGACTAAAATAGGAAGTTTGGTTTAAATTTTGTTTCCTTGTTGTAAGGTAGTGTGGAAACATCTTCAACATATAGTTGGCTGGTTTTGTTTGTGTGTTTGTTTTTACAAAGAAAAAGGAAAATCCACTTGTAAGCTGGTTGGGGAAAAAGTTGATCTTGATATAAATTTATATTTGATTTAAAAAATTTTGTTTCCCTCGTGCTATATCTTTTATCCAGAAGCACATTCCCCCCCCCCCCCCCCCCCCCCCCCCCTTGTCACACCCTGAGAACAATTAGGATGAGCTCTGGTCTCCATTCCCTTCCCTGCTTCCCCTCAGCGAACACACTTGCACATAGTGGGGACTTTCCTCCACGTTCCTGCTTCTGTTTCCCACAGACTGGCCAGTGAGCACATTTCTTAACCATCCTGGCACCTGTATTAGTAATTCACGAGGACATACACATTGCACAGATGCACGCCTGCTTGTGCAGAATGGGGTCCAAAGTGTGGACCGCTCCCCCACCCTTCCCTTCCTGCCGGAGCCTCTCACAGGCTCAGACGGTGTCTGCCCCTTCCCTCGTCATCCCTGTATTGGCCTGAGGGCATCTTCACATCTGCCTAGCTGTTTGTGGTGGGCAACTTGGCATACCTGCGCCTTCTCAGCAGGTCCCTTCTGCATCTGACAAGGGGGGTGTGGTTCCAGGGCGAAGCCAGCCCTGACCTACAGACCAGACTATACTAAGCACAGCACATCAGCGGTGACCTGCCAAATAGCCTTTCCCTTCTAGTTTCATTAAATATTGTTACACTTCATTCTTCTCAAGCGGCACCAAAGTGGGACCCTTGCCTGGATTTCCTGAGGCTGATAGCAACTGAGAGTCCTAGATCAATGTTGCTCCCGCTCATGTTCTTTTGTCTTGATTATTCTCTGTCCAAATGATCATACAAACATTGTCCCATAGATGTTCCACATCTTCAACCTTATTTACCATATTTGGTGCAGTTCCTGGGATTAGGCACAGACTCCAACGGGGCGAGCTCATTGGCTTGCTGCTGAAGGAAGCCCACCCTGCCTCCAGGAGGGAGAAGTGCCCCACACAGATCTGAAAAGTGGTTCTGTAAGACTGAGTAGAAATTTATTGAGGGGGGCGCCTGGGTGGCTTAGTGGGTTAAGCCTTTGCCTTCAGCTCAGGTCATGGTCTCAGTGTCCTGGAATCGAGCCCTGCATCGGGCTCTCTGCTCAGCAGGGAGCCTGCTTCCCCTCTCTGCCCGCTTCTCTGCCTACTTGTGATTTCTTTCTCTGTCAAAGAAAGAAAGAAAAAAAAATTCATTAGGGGCTCTCCTCCCATGTAATAATTTCCTCTTGTAACTGGAATGATTCCTTTCTTGGTGTAGATTTTTAATCATTTTCATTAGGTTATTTCCTCCGAGCTTGCAACCACAGTTTTTTATTTGTGTTAGATCTAAGAGCAAAGCTGTCACTGCTATTAAATTTTTATTGAACTTGCTCAATCTTTTCTAAATTTCACAACTTGACTGTTACCTAAGAAGAAAGACTATGAGTTTGTTGGTACAGACAGATGTTATAATTAAATTTAAGGAACACAGCCGTGTTCTTCAGCCATGTCACTTGGCCCTGTTCGTGTAGCCAGCAGACACTAATTTGCATACAATAATTTGTATATTTTTCAGATGTATACATTTTGATTTTACAAGAGCACAGGACTGCATAGGCCTGGTTTTTAAAAACTAGGGATGGTTAAATTGCAAAGGGTGGGGTTTTGTTATAACTAAAGAGAAAGTAATTATATATGTAGAGAAAGTAACTAAAATAGAAAATAAACTAGAAGTTGGAGATTTTAAAAATTAGCTCACAGTGATGCAGACAGTATATGTCTGGACTGTTAACAGCAAAGAGATTAAGAGCCCAGGCATGAACCTGACTCCCAGCCTTGGCCACTTACTAGCTACAGTCTTTTCATCTCTCTCTCTCTTTTTGTTAAGTTTATTATTATCATCATCATTATTATTATTTTTAGTAATCCCTGTACCCAGCGGGGGCTCAAACCCATGACCCTGAGATCAAGAGCTACACACTCTTCTAACTGAGCCAGCCAGCTGCCCTGTATTACCTCAGTCTCTTAACCTCTAGTTGTTTCCTTTGTCAAAATGGGCATATTAACTGACCTCCTTTGTAGGATTTTCTAAGAGTTAAATGACACGACGTATGTCAAATGTTCAGTAAGTGGTAAACATTTAATAAACGGTGGTGGCTCTTGTTGCTATTATTGGTATTATTACTGAAAAATTTTTTAAATCCTAGGCAGTGAAAGGACTACCATGTAGTTCATCTCCCTAATCAAATTCACTCAGGCCAATTAGAAGAAAATGGTGTCTTCTCAGTATAAAGATAATGTATGTTCATCATTTCATAAATATTTACAACGATTTTAAAAACCCAAAGAACAAAATTTTAAATGCCTAAAAGCCTCTCCTCCAGAAGGAGACACTGTTAACATTTTAGTAGGTCCTGTATTTTGTCTATAAGCTTATTTAAAAATTTTTAATCTTCTCATTTATCCTCACACTTCAATTGAATGTTTTATGTTACTAAATAGTCCCCTACATCATCATTTTAGAGAAGAGCAGAAACTCTTCTCCAGCCCAGCTTGGCCTTGACTGCTGTGTCCTCTCAGCGTTTTCTCTGTGGTAGATTCAGCGGGTCGGCACACAATGGGTCTTTCACTAAGGCCAGTCAGGGTGTAGCAATCTGAGGACAAGGTGTGAGAGCATGAACCGGAGGGAAATGTTCCCAGCCATATCTGCCCCCCTGATTGGGTTTAAAGCCACAGCAATAAAAACAGGAGCTCAGTATTACTTTTGCTGCCCACCCACTCAACATTCCAACACGATGGCAAATGGCAGCCCCCACATGACTGGCCTCACACACCCCTGTGAGAGGGAACCAGCCCCGGGATGCAGGGAGCAAATGACCCTGACGAAATGTCTTGACCTGTTCCCAGCAGGTCAGGGAGCCCGATCACCCCATCAGTTATCGCGAGACATGGGAGCACTCTCTTTTTTGTACTTAGTGGAAGGTTCTCTGTTACTGAAGGAGATACCTTTGGAAAACTCTTAAGAAGATTAAAACATATCAGGCATGAGCAAAGGTTTGCATTTTAAAACACAGACGTGATGAATCTTTTGAAGATACACTTATTCCTTCTGATTTTCTTTATGACTGAATTGATGACTTTATTTTATGACTGAATTTATGACTCAATTTTAGACAGGCCGCTCTGGGATCAGAGTTTCCAGTCATCTCCAAAGAAAGGCTCGTCTCCAGGATTTCCTAAGCTTCCCCCACCGGGATGGTTCTGGGGATGACAAGGGAAAATTCTAGCACAGGGATTCACTGACTTCTATCCTTCCATGATCATATTTAAACAATTCCCCCCAGATACTGGGTGGATATTTAAGCCTTGGCAAACAAGGGAAAATGAACTGAAATCATCAGTGATTGACAGAATAAGGTTCATAAGATACCAGAAAGAAATTCAATGCAGGAGAAAAGACGTTATATCATTATCTTAAAAAATACTTTACTTAACTACTGGTACTAAAATATGTAATGTGAACCAACTGAAGCTGAAATGGGGGGAGAAAGTTGAAACTATTATGCATTATTGGAGTTTTTAAATTGTATTACTGCATTCACAAAAATGAATGTGCTCCCTGAAACTAATGAGATTTGTGTTTTATGTTTGTAACCAGCAGAGGTAGCTGACGGTGATGAAAGACTGGACAGCATTTCCCTACCACCAACAGGTAAAACACATTTATATTTTCATCACCCGCTGGAAAATGCAGCACATGAAAATATTTGCATTGAAAATGTTTGTAACGTCACAGACGCAGATGCTTGAGGCAACGGCTTCTGGCCCAGACCCTAGTAATCAGAGGTTCTCAGTGCCCTGTGTTCAGAGATATTTTTACCCTGAGTCTGAAAAGCTCCTGTTTTTCTCACACTGTCTCACATTCTCAAGAGCCTCAGAACAGCAAGTCCTAAGAACTTAGTGTCATAACATCGTGCCTCCCAAAACCTGTGGGCATTAAGAGGACTTTTACGTGAAACGATATTGCTTTCTAGAACAAGGATCACCAGCTTTATGATGAAATTCGTGTCTATTCTGTCCTCGTCCACCTCCCCCTAAAGGGGTTTTGAGAGGCAGTCGTGGCTCGTCACAAAACAGGCACTCAGCGAATAGTGCAAGTGCATGAACAGGCCAATCCCGGCAGCCCAGCTGCCAGTTCCTGGTCCTAGAAGCAGATCAGCGAGATAGAACATTCTGGGCAGCATCTGCTGCAGCGGGAAGCCACAGACATCATTCTGACTTCATAGTATTTGACTCCGACCCCGGCCTCCTGCCTCTCTGTTCGCTTATACCCGAGAGCCCGAGGGACGGGGCCTGATCCCTGAGCCACGTGACCGTTTACTCCCTGACTCTTTATTGACCTCCCCGCAAAGTCAACCTGACCATTTTCCATAAAACCCAGACACCCTAAAAAGCCTAACTCCAGATATAGGGTGGTAAGTTTTAAGTAAAATCTAGCAAATGTAAGTGGAGGAGCTAGTCTTCGTAGGAGCCCTGCTGGGTCGTGTGCTCCCTGGGAGCACCTGTCCTGAGAAGGCAAGGAGAGCAGAGCTCCCAGCTGCGGGACAGACCCTGGTCAGGACTGTGAGAAAGCCGGGCCGTGTAAATGTCACCCAGCTCACTCGGTTACTCCATGGCTAAGGAACAGATGGATGGGCGCATAAATGAACTGCGGCCCCTCGTGCAAAAAAGCTCTGCTTACATCAAGCCCTTACCGCGTGCAGCCATCATACGAAAGGGAATCTAAGACTGCTTGTTTGGCTACGTTTCCACATTTATGAATTAAGATAACTGAAATGCATGATCTCTACTGTTCCTTCCCATCGTGTCCTTGTCCATCAGCACAGCTCGTATGAGCCTTGTTCTGATCACACCCAGCCCGCTCCCAGTAGACACAGGAAGTATTACCTCCAGGCATGAAACCGTGCATTTCAGGAGGCAGTCTGGAGGAATCCCCACTGTCCCAGTTGTGCCGTCCAGCCTTCCTCCCCAGCTCCCCCAGCCCCTTCACTCCCAGAGCCCACAGTGCTGCCCTTCCCTACCATCTCCCTGACACTGTGGACTTTGTGATTATTAGCAGTACTGCTATTATTATTCAAAAGCCATTCCCCTTGAAATAATACCTTTGCATTTTCCTGTCTGAAGATGGAGGCAGAGAGATGTTTCAGATGAGGAAATTGAACCCGGGATGGTAGAAACACCTCACGGAACTGAAAAGAATTTCAAGGAATCTGAGAAAGAAGGAACGTTAGAGATCATCTAGTCCCCTCCCTTCTTTTTATCCAGTCCTTTTATTTTACAGGTAAAAAAGCCTGAGGCCCAGAAACACTAAATGACTCTGTCAAGGTCTCCCAGCTGGTTGGTGGCCCGGCTGGACCCCCGGCCTCTCGACTTCCAGCCCTTACACCGCGTAGCTTTCTTATACCTAAGCCAAAGCCAGCTTTTCTCTGCATGTTTCCTAACGATCTTAAGAGTCACTGGATGTGCTAATCCCTTTAGGATTCCATTCCACTGTCTGTCTTCACAGTTAGAATGTCCGTTGTAAGCCTACCTGAAGTCCTCTGCCTTGAAACTCACTTACTGGAGTTCTTTCTCGAACCTTGCCCGAGGTGGTGAGGTCCTGACGGACACAGAGGACTAGGTCAGGTCTTTCACTAGTCTATTGACGTTTGCTACAGGTTACTGAGCAGCATGATAAATAATACCGTTTATCAATTTAGAAAAGGGGAAACAAAGTCACGGATTGGTGCTCAAATGTCACAGTATTGGAAATAGATCATCTTGGTTAGACTAGTGTGTCTCCATCGACTCAGCCCTGTTAGGTTCTGGGAACAAACGCCCGCCCTCGGGGAAGCCTGGTCCCATGTGAGGCAGGCGGGGGGGCGCGGGGTGGGCAGTGCGCTCTGAGAACCCGGAGAAACCACCCAGTACTGGGGAACACGCTGTGTTGGGGAGAAAAAAAAAACTACAGAGAAAGTAAAATCAAAACAGTGCTTTCTAAAATTGACAAAGAAGGCTTCTTAATTTGAAAGAGGAGAGAGCAGAGCTCACCTGGGCCTAGCAATTTTTGTCAAAAATTGGCCATTTTTTACATACTTCTAAACACTTAACAGAAGTAAAGGAAGAAAATTTAAATTAGTTTTACCACTCAGAGACAGCCATTAATGGGTATTTTTCCCCCAGACTTTTTTATTTACTCATTGGACACCCAACTACATAACATTTTTGTTTCCTGAGAGTTTTTCTCCCTTTTTTTTTTAACCTAACAAACATTGCCCCTTTTCACAAATATTCGCACACATTATTTTAATAGCTGCATCATGTTCTCTCTTACAGGTAAACCCTATTTTATTTAGCCCTATTCTTATCCTGAACACTATGTGGACATGCTCTAATAGTGACACAGTGTCATGAACTTTCCTGTAAAAATAATCAGTACAAATATCCAGGGGCTAAAATGGCTCACAACTAAAGCCTTGGCTGAAAAATCAGTGATTTAAATGTGAAGCCAATACTTCACCAGTGAGGTTCTCCAGCCACCCAGCCTCCTTGCCTCTTGCCCAGTCATAGAAAAGTGTGTGACTCCCCTTTAGAGAAGCGGCCCCCCTTCATTGTCTTGTCTCTGTTGTAGGTCATATATTTGACACCAGGAGAGAAAACACGGAAGACACAGAGCCAGATTTCACTGCCTAGACTTTCCTTTTAGTGACACTGTTCATTAGCACACGTAACTGTTCCGTTGAATTCCTTCAAAGATCCACGTAGCATTTCAGGTTCCTGCAAAGTGTGGGCGTTCTGTGAAGTTTTCCCGTCATATCTGAATAGTTGTCATATTCTTTGTCGTGTGTGATAATCAAGCCTCCAATTTGGTGTTAAGATTTTTAGAAATCATTTTGAGAGTTAACTCATTCCTTTCAAAAGTCTGGCGTCAGACCAGTGAGTTCATTGTTCATTAAAAAGCAGCAGTTCTCTCTCGTTTTTTTTTTTCATAAGCTCAATGTGAATATATGGAGTTTTGAAGCGTATTTATTTTAATGTGCACTGCTTAGATGCAGAATAAAGGAAAACAGCTCTTTCCAGCCTTGGGGAGCAGTTGGGAAGGCCAACATTAATTAGGCCTTCAGCGGCTTCGAAGATGAAAAAGTTGTTTTTGGGGGACAGGAGAGCTCTGACCTAGTAGATGAAATCATTTGTGACATCATTTCCTCCAAAGATAGCCATTTGTTGCTGAGTAAGTGCAAATGATCTAGGAACTCCAAGGAAAGAAAGACATTTCACAAAGATTGTATCAACACAGTGACAAAATAACTAAAAGGCCAGGAACTCAAAGTAACCAGTGACCCACATGATACCCGACAACTGTTTTCACAGAGGATTTTAAACTGCAGGGTCCAGGGTTTTGGACAACCAGCCACAAAGGGACTTAATACTTTATTTGGCTCTTAGGACGCTCGCCCTCTGCTTCGTATGAAACCAACTTATGAAAATAAGGGTTTACACTGAAGAGATATCTTGCCATGTGGGTATTTGTTTTACAGAAATATTTACCTCCACATCCCTTCTCCAAAAAGATGGTGAATTTAAAAAATACCGTTTTACTTAGAAACATTGCACATAGATCTCATTCACTGTATAATTAAATTACCATAAAGTCTTTGGCACTTGACCCAAAAGCCAAAAATCGGCCAGAAAGAAATTGGGTCTGTAGCCGGGCCGAGCCAGAGAGGGAGAGAATGGCTGTCATTTCCCTAGCATTTGTTTTATGAGTCATAGAGCATTAGAGCTCCGAGTTCTTGTAGAGCCGCCCTGTCCAGGGGACATGTGCCGTAACACACCAAGCCGCTCCCCCTGAGCTCGGGGGCAATGCGGAGTGCCACCAAAGACCAGCTCATCAGCCAAAGATGAGAGCTAGGAGGCGTCGCTGAAATGTGACAAAGCTGGTCGCAGGCGTGGCTTGCAGAATCCACCTCACTGCTGGAGAGCTCCATCTCTTATCCGTGTGTCTTTTGTCTTATTTCTGAAGTTACAAGGAAGGTTCAGAGAAACGGTTTCCGTCACGTCCTGTAGTTATTAGCCTTTTACATTTCTAGGCCAGTTAGGAATCCCTTCCCTGAAACTGGTCCCACTGGTCATCAAGTGGCCTGATGAAGTTCTGCATTCAGGGCTTTTGTTTTTCCACAACGTGTGTTTTAAAATTTGTCTTTTGCCCCTCAGCAGGAGATATTCCTCAAGGGAATTGAAAAGATTAATTAGTGACCTTTCAACTCTATTACAGTGAGATGAGTGTGTTGCTAATAAAGGTAGAAACATTTACCTTACCACTGTGGGATCTGTTAAATATGCGTCACAAACCTTCGAAAGCACTTCCTTCCAAGACTGGGTGACAGCTTGGATTTTTCAATACTTGAGGGGAGGGTACTGCTCAACTCACAAGTATGTGCAATGCATCCACAAATTGGAAATACATATCACAAAACTGCAACAGTAAAATCATATTTTGTACATTAAAATTGTATTTGTGTTTACTTACTGTGACTACTGTTCAGACTTTATTCAGAAATCCTTTTTATAGGCTTTCTTAGTAAAAAAAAAAAATTCCATTATCTATGGATGATGTCTCAATCTTCTGTATATATGTTTTATTAATATGTAAATATTTAGATTTTTTAAAATTACTATGTTCTTTAAAAAGAATTTCAACACAAGGCTAGTTGTGAAATGGTGAATAACATTGTGTTGTGATATCAATTCCCAAGATGCTCTTTATGTCCGTTCCAGAAGAATACAATAAATTACTTTAATTGAAAATGCCTGTTTCGTGCCTGTGTGCCAGTCCTCCTGTGCTTATGAAGAGGAGTCAGGGCTAATCATTAATTAAAAGGTATTTATTAATACTCGGGTGATCTTACACAGAGGGTTACATCTCCTTAGGAAGCTAATTTTTAAAAAATAAATAAATAAACTAGATTGCCCCCAGAAAGACTGTCTTCAAACACAGAAAGTCACAGGCTCTGCCTGGCAATCCCCGTGAATGGCTGCAACCAGTCCCCCTTGTACCACTGGAGCATTAAGTACGGATAGGCTTGAAGCCTAATTTTAAATGAATTAGGTAGCTTTATAATCTTCACTTAAAAGGTTAAGCCCTGCTTCTATGGAAACAACACATCAGAAGGACAAATCAGTCTTCTTTAATGCAAAGTGGCTGGTCCAACATAATCGCTTTCTTCTCCTCTCTGAACACGGGAGGGCGCTGCCTCTCATGGCCCCCACCCCACCCCAATGCTCCCCAGCCTGGAGCGCACCCAGGCTGGTCTGTCCATTCTTTCCTGGCCTCTCTTCGGGGTCTGGTTCTGGGGCCCCACTTGGGAGGGCCCTGAGCTCTTCTGCAGCTGCCACAGAAGAAGGCAGCTGGATCGAGGGTGAGAAGGCAGCAGGGCGAGGCGCTTGCAAGAACAAGAAAACCCGAACTCCAGCCAACCGGAGGCTCTCACATCCCCATGCCTCCTAGAAGCTGGGAGCCTGACACCAGCCGGCCCCAACTGCCACGATGTGGTGGCCCTAGGATGCCCTCGCTCCCACACATTTGTCACCCAATGGACAGCCCTAAAGGGCTCTCCAGGGCAGTGTGAGGGGCCCAGGTGCACCACGGGAGGTGTCACCGGGAAGGGGACCATGTCCCATCCCCACAGACAGAAAGCTCACAGACTTCCTCCGTTGCCTCTCCTTCCACAGGCCTGGCCTCACAGCGTGATTGGGAGCAGTCACTGGCTCATTCCCCAGGGGCACCTCGTGCCCAGCTCAGCCGTTCACTAAACACCCACTGTGGGCAGGTGCTGCATTGGAGCAGTCCGGCAGGGACACTTGGAAGCAAGGGACAGAGCAGTGAGGGCCAAGACTGGGGAGGTCGGCCCCAGACCAAATATGCCAGGCCGTGCAGACCATCCCAAGAAACTGGGAAGACAACAGGGCAGGGGTGGGAGGTCGTGAGGGCCCCTGAGTCACCCTAAGAGCTCTTGATCAGATTCATAGAACATATTGATCTGTCTGGCTGAAAAATGGTACACTGACTGGGCACAGGCGAGCCTCAAGTAGGGAGTCCCATTAAGAAGCTGCTGGAATAGCTAGCGTTAGATCAAGCTGCCATGAGGACACAGCCCTGAATGCCTGAGCAGGAGAGATCCAACAGGACTAGCTTGGGGTAGAAAGGGGAGTGCAGCTCTAGGGAGGAGCTCTGGTTGGGGAACCTCAGTGTCCTTTGTGCTCCTTAAGGTAGGGAGCACGGAGAGGCGCCATTGGGAGAAGAATGACAGGTGCGTTAGGGTGTGGAGGTGACTCCATTCATTCATTCAACATGTGCGTGTTGAACACGTAGAATGTGCCTGGTGCTGTCCTAGAGGCCAGGAGAACAGTGAGCCAAAGTCCTCGCCAGGACCATCATTCACAAAGTGTGAGCCCTAAGGAAACACCAGGATAAAAGGTACAGTATGCTCCTGAACCAGAGAAGGCACTTGAACTTGGAGCTCAGCCCCAAACTAGAGGCAATCAAGATTCACAGCACCCTTCATGCAGCATGACTCGAGTCTCAACTACACATCAGCACAGAGCGAGTCCTAACCCGAGGCTCACAAGCAGCCACTGGCCCCCGTCAGGTCACAGGCTCCGTCTGTCTTGTCACTTACCACTCTCTGACACTGCCTTGCTTAACAACATGATTGTTTATGGCCTGTTTTCCACCGGCATCTAAGCCTCATGAGGTCAGGGACCTTATCTGTAAGACCATGAAGGAAACATTTCAGGCTCTGGTTCAGACATTTTCTGGACGTCACTCTCGCCAAGAAGGGGTGGACTGTGACAGATGAGGGGTGTTGTGTGCTGCCCTCTCCTTTCTTCTGTCCCCTAGTCTTCAATCCCATGCCCTTTCTCCGTCCCTTTATGGGCACTCTTCATCAACAGAGCACAAGTGCCATGCAAGACATGTAAGCGGGACCCATGAGAATTTGGGAACTCAAATGATTCAGAGCAACCCTTCGAATTTACACAAATCATCTCAGTCTGTACTTTGTAACCTCAACAGTAGGTAACAGATAATCCCCCTAAAACTACACACACACACACACACACACACACACGCACACACACACATATATATGAAATATACATATGAAAAAGCCAAAGAACAGCCTGGAAACAAAGCCCAGGTGGGATAACCTGAGTATGCTGTGCTTTACACATGCTGATATTTCAAAAAGACTTGATACTTAAGGGCCTTTTTAATTGTGTGGGTTGGGTTTTGTTGTTGTTGTTGTTGTTGTTGTTTTTTGCCATTTTAATCTGTTAATGCTAAGAAATTGAGGGACATCTTAAACCTAAAGTTTGAAACTAAGCTACTTTAGATAATTCCTTTTAAAATACTTTCCCAAAATGCAGCTGATGGGAGCATGGGAAATGGAGGCACTGGTCAGAAACTGGCTCTCTTGACTTTCAGGTGTTCACACTCTCCACCACCGCCACCGTAAAGGATTCAAAACGTGGAGGGCCCTTGATGTGAATACGGAGTGAAAAATCAATTTTACAAAGGAAATTGAGTGTCCTAAATTGGTTCAATGAAGTGGTGGACCAATGGCATATTCTGGTAGAAAAAACGACCTTCTGCTCTACTCTAGCAACGGGCAGAAAAAGAGAATACATTAGAATAGATGGCACTTACTCTGTATCTTACTGAATTAAGCATCTTCCAAAAGTGATGTATTTCTAACCCCTGGAAACCAGAAGCAACTCAGCTAACAACCCCTATGCTAACCCTGTCCCCCTCTTGTGAGGAATATTGTAACACTGCCCGGTTAGGGGAACTATTTCATGGTGTGAAGCATTGAGACCTCCTTCCACTCCTCTTGCCAATTCTCCCTGTAACAGACAGACCCACAGCTGTGGACAGCCTTGACTCTCATCATGAAGATTCTGTTTCTTTTGTTTGTGTCCTGCACTGTTCAAGTATGTCTGTCCTACCCACCTCCATCGTGTCGGTATTCCTTGGGGGGCAAGAACCACAGCTCATCTTTCCTGTACTTTGTCCTCATGGGACTGGCTCACCAGTCCTGGTGGGGTGGGCGTATTTCAGCATCAGGCTGAGTCCCGGACACAGGCTACCACCCGTATGAAGCAAGAGGAGCCAAAATGCACCTCAATCATGCCTAAGCTAGCAAAATATATAGTTTTAGAAAATGAACAAACTCTCAAGACCAAGAAATGACTTTTGATTGGAAAGTACCCAGTGACTTTGGAGGTGGGAAGGAGAAGGCGGTGGAAGTTGACAAAATTAGTCTGAATTCATTGGACAGATTGAATGCAGGAGAAGAGCCAAGAAAATGCTTTAGGAACTGTGACAGAATCTTACTCCCCTCTCTTCATTCCCTCACTTAAACATATTATAAAACTACAGAAATTGAAGCTGTGGTTTTGGTATAAGAATAGATCAATAAAATAGAATGGGAATTTAAGGAAAACCTTACCTATAGAGACATATAGCATATATTAAAGATATTGTAATGACAAGAGGCCTAAATATAAAGGGGGCTCAAACGAAATACAGATTTTTTTTTTTCCCTCTAACTCAGAATGGCCCAGAGTGGGTTGCGTGGTCCATACTGATGGTAGGTAGCTCTGTTCCATGAGATCATCTTGAAACCCACTCATATCTTATTGTTCTCTCATCTCCTAGAAGAGGTCTACAACCATGTTGTCAAAGCTGGCTCACCAGCAGAAGTCTACGTTTGAGCTCATGCGAAGGTGGGAAAAAGTTCCTGGAGGGGAACAATTTCCTTAGGAAAACTTGATTTGGGGGTTGCATAGATCACTTCTGCTACAACAAAGGAGGGGCTAAGAAATATATTTCTAGCTGGATGGCTATGTGCCCAGCCAGAATTTGCATTCTGTTACTACCAAGAGGAGTGGGAGAATGGATACTGGGGACAACGAGTTGTTGGTTCCACAAATATCATTTTAAATGGCAGGAAAGGACAAATGATTCGATAAATAGCGTTGAAGGCAACCAGCCAGCCATTTGCAAGAACAAAATTAACTCAAAATGGATCATAGACCAAAATGTAAAAGCTAACACTCTAAAACTTGAAGAAAACAGAGAGGTAAGTCTTCACACTCTTGGGGCAGGTGATGGCTTCTTAGATAGGACACCCAAAGTACAAGGGACAAAGAAAAATAGATGAACCCGGGACATCACAGAAATAACACTTCTGTGCTTCAAAGAAAGTCAAAAGACAACTCACAGAAGGGAAGAACAGATTTCCGAAGCATATATCTGATAAAGAATTTGTATCTAGGATATATAAAGAACTTTTACAACTAAAAAATAAAAAGATAACCCAATTTAAAAATGGGCAAGAGATTCCAACAGACTTCTCTCAAAAGATATCTAAATGGCCAATAAGCTGATAAGCACATGAAAAGATGCTCAACATTACAGTCATTAGGGAAATGCAAATCAAAGCCGCCAGATACCACTTCACACCCACAAAGAAGGCTGGAATCAAATGACAGACAACAGTGTTGTATGAATGTGGAGAAATTGGAACCCTCAAACATTGCTGGTGGGAATGTAAAATGGTGCAGTCTCTTTGGAAAACAGATTGGCAATTCCTCTAAAAATTAACATAGACTCACCGTAAGACCTAGCAGTTACACTCCTAGGAATAGACCCAAGAGAACTGAAAACGTGTACACAGAAGACTTCTACATGAACGTTCAGTCTACAGCATGTGAATTTTCTTGTGTGAATTCTATCACAATGAACAGG